ACCACTTATCACCACTGATTTGACCGGACACTGAATCATTCGTTTAAATTTAAAAAGAACCCTTTAGCATTTTGTTAAAAGAGGACTCTGTCAAAAGAAGGTTTTCTCACGTAAGATTTGAGTAAACAATATGACGCTATTTTTCAATTACATTCCCAGACGATTTTATTGATAAATATTACTGAATCACATCAAATTTATCGCCGATTAAAACCAACAAACATAATAATAGTACACTTTTACATAATAATGACCGTACCTTAGTTTTGTAGAGAACACAGGTTACTTCAAAATTTTCAAGGTTAGAGCGAAATACTTTACACTAAACTTATAGCACAGAGATACACACAAGAATTACTATGCTAACAAAATCGTATTTTATTAATTATTTAGCTTAAGATACTTATCAGACTGATAAGAAGAGTATGAAAACAATGAATGTTGTAAAATTACCGTCGTGAAATTAAACATAACGAGATATGAGGTAGATGACACAAATATTTCTGGTCGAATGAACTGATCAACAAAACTTTTTATTATTACATTTTGCAACTTCACACATTAGTGTGAAGTCGGACCGTCATTTATTTTTGAGATTTAAAATAAACTGAATTACCAGGACCAGTTCTACACCTTCTCCTTAAACACTTTTAGAGCCGTTATACGTGGTACGGATGGTCAGTCCTGGCCATCCGCACTAATATTTGCAGCACAAATACGATGTCGTTCACAAGTTACGTAGCAACAGTTTAGAAAAATGTATCTAAGAGCTGTTACACATGATACGGTTGTTCATTTATTACAATATTTCACATGTATAGCCTACCGTCAGTCCGTAGAATCGTCCACCGAAGGAACAAGTGCCAAAATAAGAATCAGATTGTCTCAAGCCTTTGCATTAAACAAAGGACTCAAACAAGGATGTTGTCTATCGCCAAATATTTTTAAAATTTACTTGAAACAAAAAAATTGCAGTGGAATCGGGATAATTGGGTATCACCACAGCAGATTTATTTTCAATAAGCTTCATTAAAATTTTCTATATTCACTCTTAATTCGTTTTTCGACATCGTTCTTGTTATTTTCACAAGTTATACAACACTGTTTTAGATGTTGTATGTGACGGACTATCCGAATAAATGTGTTAACAAGTACGCTGTATGCCTTGGCACGGCGGACGATTCGACGTACTCACGGTACGCTAAAATGTCGTATTACATATAGTAGCGCATGCGGATGATACGAAATAAACAAAAAAAAATGGATCATCTGTCGAATTATCAGACGAAAAACATAGAGAGAGATGCATACAATTCAAAAGCGAGAGGGCCACAGCTTTAAGAACACTAAGGCAAAAAAAGAGACAAAAGTTATGGATATTTTCTAGAGCTTTGAAAAAGCTAAACTAATATAGGTCTAGAAGTAAATGGAGACAAAACAAAATATGATCTTCCTTAAACAAGAGCCACGGCGAATAATGCAAAATGTTACTATAAACGATCATAACTTCGAACTGGTTAAACACTAAACAGTTTAAATATCTAGGAGCAACGAACACCAATGACAACAAAGTAGAACGAGAAGTCGAAACGCGAATAATAACAGGAAACAGATCTGTCTTTGCAAGATCCATTTATGCAAGGCCGAATGAAATCAAACTTCTCTCACGAGGTACAAAAATCGAGACATACAAAATCACGATACGACCAGCAGTCGCGTAAAGAAGCAAACGAAGAAAGAAGAAAATAAATTGCTGGCTTGGGAACGTAAAATTCTTTGAGTAATATATGGATCTGGCACAAAGAACGTGGCAAACGAATGGAGTTACACACAGCAACAAGTTACGAGTCTCTCTTCGGAAAGGAAAACCTTCTTTTTCTTATTGTGGTGTCTATCCATTTCGGATGTTGGTGACCATCATGGCAATCTGTATTTTGCAAACTGCAGCTCTGGAAAGAGTTGTGGTTGTTGTGTTGAACCACGTACGTAAATTTTTCAGCCAGTAAATTCTTCGTCTTGTACTTTTTCTTGAAGAATTAATTGCAGCAACCCATATCTTTCGCTGTTCCTCATGATGTGACCGAGGTGTTCAATTTTGGCTGTTGTTATTGTGGTTAACAACTCTTTTACTTTTTACATTCTTAATAAAACGTCCTGGTTAGTAACGTGGTCGGTATAGGATATCTTCAGAATTCTACGATAAAGCTACATTTCGAAAGCGTCAATCTTCTTACACGTAGCGTCTGTGAGAGTCTACAGCTCAACTCCTTTCAACAGTATAGGAAAGATATAACATCGTAGTAACTTGATTTTTATGGGTACTGATAAATCGTGACATTTGAATAGTTTAGCCATTTGATGAAATGCAGATTTTGCTTTTTTATCTTACATTTTATTTCTAGCGAATGGTCCCAATTTTCATTGACGTTCGTAGATAGGTGTATGTTTTTACTCTTTCTATTGGTTGACCATTCACACTGATTCTTTCCATTTGATGTTCCTTCTTAGAGATCAACATACAATTTGTTTTCATAATGTTTAGTGAAAGTCAATATAATCAGCGAATACGACCGTGTCATACCCGAATCTGATGTTATTGATACATTCTCCTTTAATTCAAATTCCGGGTTCAATATCTTCTACTGCTTCTTGAAAGATTTTCTCAGAGTATATGTAAAAAAGCAAGGGTGATAGTATACATCCCTGTCGGACCCCACGCTTAATTTTGATATCATCGGATTCTCCTGCCTCTGTACAGATAGACGATGTTTGATTCCAGTAAAGATTGCTAATAATTCTTAGATCACAGGTATTTATTGCAATGTTTGTTAATATCTCCATCAGCTTGTCGTATTTTACTGTATCAAGTGCTTTATTATAATCAATGAAGCATGCATAAATATCGCAATTCACATCTCTACATCGTTGAAATAGCACTTATATGCTAAATAGAGCCTCTCTCGTACCCACTGCAAACCGGCTGATTTTTTCTTCGCATAGTCTATATCTTTTGACCTATGATTTTTAGAAATAACTTTAAAATGTTGCTCATTAAACTGATAGTCCGGAAATCATTGTCGTTTTATATATGTCATTGAATATTTTTGTTAGTCGTTGATTACCGTCGGTGTTAACTAGCTTTATTAGTTCAACATATGCTGCACAGGAGCTTTGCCATCTGAGTTGTGATTGCTTTTTCCACTTCATCTGATGTGATTGGTAAGTGGTCATTACATATGTAGGTTGGAGGTTGTTCGAGCCTATTAGGATCAAAGAGTTCTTGTATGTATTTCGCCCATATGCATATTTCTTGATTTTTATCTGTGTTGGATTTTTGAATACCAGCTGCTTGTTTTACCTTTTTAAGCATATTAAATGTATCGTGTTTTTGTTCCAACAACTCTATCTCTTCATACTGTGTTTTTAACCCCTTTTCTTTGGCCTTTCGTATTTTAATTCTTATTGGTCTCTGAATATTTTTGAACATTCTTTTGTTGTTCGTTGATTTTATTCTTTCTTCCATAAGTTTTAGTATATTGTCATTCATCCAACTTTTCCTCTTCTTTTTATTTTCTATCAGATGTTCTTCTCTAATCTTGTTAAAGATGTCACATACATTCTGGAGTGATTTTTCTAAATCATATGTTTGCTCCATGTTACTTAGCTTTTCTGAAAGAATTCGTGCGACTATCTCCTTTGTTTCCTTATCTTTTAGTTTTCTCATATCACATTTTTTGTTATTATTCTTTTCGTAACCTTTTTAAATGTAAACCAAAATTTACCAATAACAGGAATATCTGACGATATGTCAGTACCAGGGTAACTTTTAATTGATAGGCATCCATTACGGAATCTCTTGTTCACCATTATGTATTCATTTTTATTTCTTATTATGTTCCCTGGTTGATCTTGCGGAGAGACCCAAGTATACAAACGTCTTGGTGGTAGTTTGAAGAACGTATTTAGTATTGCAAATTTTTCTTCCTCTACAAATAGTTTTAATCTTTCTCCCCTTTAATTTCTCTTCCCTAGACCAAAATCACCAATTAATTCACCGCTTCTCTATTTACCAATGTTGGCATTCAAGTCATAATATTAATAGTTATATCTTCTTTTTTAATTTGTTTAAGTAAATTTATTAATAACTCATAGAATTACTCTACCTCTTTTTCTGGTTTATTGCTGGTTGGGACATACACTTGTAAAACATTTAATTTGACCGGAGTAGTATTCAGTTGGATTATTATTAATCTTTCAGAAATAGGTATAACATTTGTAACATATTGACGTAATTGAGGAGATACGACTACTATAACCCCATACATATGTTGACCGTCATCGTTTCCCGAGTGGTATACCATATAGTTGTCAACAATACAAGCACCAGTATTTGACCACCTCATTTTGCTTATGCCCATTGTACCTACTCCAAGTCTGGTCATTTCTTGAATGGCATTATGAAGTTTTCCAGCCTGATACATTGTCTTCACATTCCAGGTAGATATTTTGATAATTAACTCTGAAGTTCTTAGAAAGACTTTTCCAGTTCTGTAAAATGAAAACCTAGTAAGATATAAAAATTCAAATAGACTAGGATGAACAGGACATGTGATACGCAGTAATAACAATTGCCTTAAAAATAATGTGTTTTAGGGAAGACCAGATGAGATAAGATCTGTAGGACGACGTAGAAAAAAGTTTAAATATGCAGTAAGAGAGAATCTGCAGAATATGGAGTCAGACAATGAGAAATAGTGATACAGGAGCGACAAACATGAGAGACAATAGTAAATGCAACAAATACTCACGAAGAGTTGTAACGCAATTAGAGACGATAATGGATTTTGATTTACGATTTTGTGTAGCAAATAAACAAAAGGTAATTAAAAAAGGAAATAAATTAAACCAAACACTTTTTCAGACTCACTTAACAAGCGAGTTTGTAGAGTTAGAAACAAAAATAATTTTATAAGAGCTGTTAAAAAACTATTTTAACTCACCTGGATGTTTAAATTCATACTTCATAGGATCCAAATTCTTTTCTTCACATACTTTTTTCATAATATCTTCCAGAAGCACATTTCTACTGACTCGAGTTACATACAATTGATTTCGAGGTAAGTGCACCTTCAATCTAAAAGTACTTTCAAATGGTTGATGTCCTGGTGGAATATTCTTTGGTACCGCAACACTCCTCGTTTTAGGTACTACCTTGATGTGTTGAGTATCTAGGGTGCCAATCGGTGTATTAGGTGTATAAGGGAGAATTTTGTCGGTACGATCGGATGATGGTGCCATTCCCAGAGTTTGCAGCGTGTAGTTAGAAAGTTGGAGCTGGTGCGTGGTGGTTATTTGAACCAAAAGGTCCATCATCGGCGTGCTGTTAAAAAATAAAGAAATATTAAACATAAATCATATAGTAAATTAATATTTCTAAATTGATACCTGTACTTTATTTGCACTTATATTACCAAAAAAGATCTCTGCCTATATGTAAAAAGTATCACATTAGCAAGGAACTATTTTGAGTCTCTTGTATAGCTAAACAACACTATTTACTTTATAAAGGATATATAAAGTAGGAGGTTTAAATGGTGTAGTGATGCGAATCATAAGGTGTTGCTTCCAGATAACACCACTAGCCTCTCCTACTCAATTCTTATCCTCACCTCCGAGAAGTGTGATCCGGATCACACGGGTAAACCCCGGTAAACCTGAGCAACCCTACTGGAGACTGGATAACCACCCTAGTGAAAGGTGGGGTCAGGACTGACGAGGAAGGGAGAAATGGTCCTCCGAAAAGGGGTTGGGTATGAGGCTAACTCGCTCATCACATAAAAACTATTGTTACGAAATCTCGAGATAGAAAAGCCGGACTGAATTCAAGACGACGACCCATGCACCGAACTAAGGACAATGATTTAAAGATCAGTACACGGAATGTAAGAACGCTGTATAAGACAGCGGGGCTGAAGCTGCTGCAAGATCAACTCCTAAAATATAGAATAGACATTGCAGCCATTCAACAGATGAGATGAAGAGGAACCGGCATTATGCAGAAAAAAGAACATGATATATATTACAGCTGCAACCCAAACCGACATGAGTTCGGAACCGCGTTCCTAGTATTAAAGAAAATAAAAAAAAATATTATTGGTTTTAAAGCCATAAATGATCGGTTATGCATCCTTCGAATAAAAGGAAAATTGCCTGGTCAAAAGACGAAGAAATTAAAGATCTATTCTACGAAGACCTCGAAAGAACATATGATAACTGTGCCAAAAACGATATTAAACTAATCATTCGAGACATAAATGCCCAGATTGGAAAAGAGATATGCTACCAAGATTATATTGGTAACCACAGCTTTCATGACGTTACTAATGACAATGGTTTAAGGCTTATTAATTAGTATTGCAGCTTCCAAAGATTTACTTGTGGGAAGTACATGTTTTAATCATAAGAATATCCATAAAGAAAATTGGATATCTCCAAATGGACACACCACAAATCAAATTGACCATGTTATAATTGACAGAAGGCACTTTACAAACCTAATGGAGGTCAGAAGTTACAGAGGCGCAAATATTGACTCAGACCATTTCATGGTATGGGCCAAGTTACGACAAAGAATTATTAATGCCAAGATAGAAAGGGGCACTAGAAAGTAAAATACAATTTACATATGCTAAATAACGAAAACAAAGAGAAACGGTTTCAGTCACATATAAAAGAAACCCTAGAACACACCTAGGCAGTCGACCAGTAAAGCACGGAAATGTGGAACAACTAGAGAACAGAGTGGAGCTACAATAGGCCATTCGATGCTATTCTTAGTGAAAATTTTCCGCGCTAGAACCTTTCATGTTTTTTATGATCTGTATACAGATTATTCAAGTTCAGTCTTGGCATTATCTTCAATAAATGTTGAATCTGAAAAGTAATGTCCTTAGCCGCCTGAACCAAACAACACAACTGGTCAATATAATAAAGAAACTGAAATACTTCGGTCACATTATGAGACACCTTTAAAAGTATGAACTTACATCTAATCATTTAGGAAAAGATCCAAGATAAACGTGGTCCTGGTAGAAAAAAATATCATGCTTAAAAAATTTAAGACAATGGTACGGAAAATAGTATATATTATTATTTAGCGCTGCTGTAAATAAAGTCACGATAGCGAATATGGAAGCCAACATGATATCCAAAGATACAAAGATCCAAAGATAAGAAACACTCATGAAACTAAAAGAAAATAAGCCATCTTATACTTTTCTCTTTAGTTTACGTAAACTCACTATTTGATTTTTTAAATAGTCTAATGCCGTTCTAGTGGTCTCTAGAGATAACTTTTTCAAGGCGACCTTCTTAACTTGGTGTTATATTTCGTTAGAGCTTTTTGTAGTCCTCTGTTAAAGGTTCTACGTGAACTAGCCCTTAATTTTGCACTTAGTTGTTCTACAAAGAACATATTGATGGGACTGCTTTAATTTTGATATGACAAGCTTCTTCATAACCGTTTATTATCGTGTGATTAAACCAATGTAAGGCTGTTTCGATGTGATTTCAAATACATAATGAACGTCGTCAGCATCTGATCTTAACTTGTTCTCGTAGAAACACCAGTCAGTCTTATGTATATATTATGACAGAATTGCACGTACGCATGCTCCGCTTCAACCTTGAAATGCAGGATTCTGTGATCCAAAGTTGAGGTTTCATCAGAGAGATGCCAGTTCTGAATTATATTTGTAGTAAAGCAGCTAGTTACGACGATATCCATGACCTCTTTCCTGGTAGCAGAGATAAACTTGGGTTTGTTTGCTTTGCTTTTATTAAATTGTTAATCGTTGTTAATAATGTCTATGTTAGAAGAAGGCAAAGACTATAATAGGTGCTAACCTTCGTTTGTTTGTATCTGTAGCAGAATGCCTGATAAATACTATAATGGATGACAAGCTTTACAAAATGATTAGATTAAGTAATTTCAATTGTGTCTCGTGTGTTTCTAAGAGTCTAATGACACTATAAAGTTCTAAATATACTTTTTAAGCTATATAGTTTTAAGGGAATTAATGAAATCCAGAATTAATTGTAGTAATTCTTTTTTGCATAAAATTTATATATTTTGCTTCCCTGCTACTCTTTGAAGGACTTTTCCCTTATTTTTGGTTGTTGTTTTCAAGTTTTCTTTCTGTGTCCTTTTGTATTTGTCTTGTTTCCTTGTCTGCTTCTTTAGGAAATTATACAAAAATATGTGAAACTATATTATAAATATGGTATTTTGAAGTCGTGCACAAATTTGGTAAAAGCGTAATTGACGAAAATAGACAACATTTAACAGCGAAGAATAAAGTCACCTGATGACTTTTACATTCCTCAGAAGTTATTTTCAATGAGCTTAAAGGACAAAATTATTATTTATATCTACGGAGTAATTCTAAATAAATCACTTTGTCATTTTTTAATTTATTCAAATATATAAATTAACTATTACCTTCTTTCAACAGACATTTTAACATTTCTTCCAGTAGGAAGGTGTACAATTAGGTCCATTGCTCCTGCTAACATGTCTGGGGGTGTATCTTCGGTAATCTGCATCATGCTCACAGTCGCACCACCGTTAGACCTGGAAAAAGGAGAACGAAAGGATTTTTATATATTTCTACTATTTTCTGAGATTTAATGCAATGAAAGCTACAGATTATTGAATCTCAAATTTCATTGAGCGACCCTTGGATACTTCTATTTTATGTACTTAAATTTCAGTAATTTAAACTTCTAGTTTACTTCATAACTTTCCATGTATCTATGCTGACTAAATAATAGCGTATTAGTGCAATTTATTTTAATTATATAGGTTTTGTTTCTATTGTTTATTTAATGAATTATTATTACTGGTCTATTACCAATATCTTATCTATTAAAATAATTCGCAGTAAATTTCTTGGTAACAGAATTAATGAATATAAAAGTCAAGTCACACACTCCACGATGTATTTGCAGCAGGATTTCGTCGTGAAACATTAATAATGGATTAGCAAGTTGTTAAATATGGAATAATTGTGGCGGAAAAAGGACTCTCTAGTTGGTATTTTTTATACCACCTGACAATTCGTTGGAATTTTGAATGAGACAATAAAATCAAATTCAATGCTATTGAAGGTCGTCGATGACATCGTTTAAGAATTTTAATTTTTAAAATATGTGCATATATCTATATAAATATTTTGTTATGAATTTGTAATTTTCTGAATAGCTTGAGTCATTTTCAAGTTATTTCGTCAAATAGTACTCATCCGCATTTTTGAGAAAAAAAAATGAGAAAGTAATCAATTATCCAGGACTGCAGGAAACATGTAGGTTTTTGTTACAGAGTTTTTGTCCATACTGCTCAAAACAATTGTCGTTTGCCTGGCCGATTCAGAATCACAAACTGGTTATCTTTTTGCTTATTATCCTGGCCTAAATAGTTAAACGACATAAACAAATACTATTGATGAACTTATATTGCTAGGATTTAACGACGGTAAAAATGAAGATCATAGAGGCACGAAGTATAAAGGAGATAATTGTTGGATAAGCCTTCCTGTCTTATGATGACCAGAAACAACCACCACTATGGAACATGGAACATATAGTGAGATATTTCAGAAAAAATGGATTGCAACTAATCATCGGCTGTGATGCAAATGCACACCACGAGTCTTATGGCAGCACAATTATTAATGGAAAAGGTTATTATTACCCTTTATTATTTAATATTATTTTAACTTAGAGTGGGAAACAAACTAGAATTCGTTACAATACAAGGAAAGAACTAGGACTTGAAGATGACGGAAAGAACTATTAAAAATTGGCATGTGTCAGAAAATGTGTCTTGTTAAGATCTTGTTTGCAGTTGTGCTTGTTACGTTAAGATCTTGTTACAACAGGTAATGAGTCTGTCAAGGAAACTTATCGTAACTATCGAAAACAGTTTGATATACTATTACAGTTTGTTATGGAACATGATTTAGAGATATTAAAGATTGATTAAATTTTTTTTTTAATAACAGGTAAAGGCCAAAGGAACAGTTCGCAAAAAATGCAGATCAACTTTCGCATTGACGAGAGACTTTTGACGCGTTCAAGTAGAATTTACTGCAAACATTTTTAATATCAATAAGTCAACTTTGAACATTTTGAGTATATATTTAAACTTGAGTTGACAACGAAGTCCATGAAATATTAATTTGTTATATTACCTTTGATATTTTAGACAATAATTAATTGGTTTAATTAATTATTGTCTAATTAATTAATGCCACTATTGTAATAATACATTCATGATAATAAAATCTTTAATGAATATACTATTTAGGTAAGTCATACATTTATATATATATATATATATATATATATATATATATATATATATATATATATATATTATAAAACACAGGTTTCTAAATTTTCGTTGACGTACTTTACCATTGTATCAAAATGTGCTAATAATAATCAGCCTTAACAAAACCATACTGAATTAGCGTTGATTCGCTAAATAAATGACAAAAAATAAATTTATGTCGAAATTTTTGCACCTTACCATATAATTTCTAAATAAATAAACAAATATAATTTATTTGGTGATGTCCCAATTTAAGTTTAAGTACATATTAATCCATTAATATTAATATGTTGTTTTATGAATGTAAACATGTTTTATACCAATGCATATAAATATGTATGTTGTATTCCAATCTACCCTATTTTTAGGTCGTGGACGATGTTTTTGACACTCCCACGAACGGCTCCGGACTGTATTATTTTGCATCTGATCCTCTTGTGCCAAATTCACTATCTCTTTGATTGCCATGTACTCCCCGATGGTCTGGCACCTATACTGGTGTGACACTGTTACTTTTAGTAAGTCTATCGATTTTTTCTCGGCATTACCACACTATCTTGGAATCTACTTTGGGCTCCTTAGCCTTAGCTTGAATATTTGTGAGTATGAATTCATAATACATAGGGTAATATTTGTACAAATATTTGTTTAAGTTGAGAGACACTAGCGATTTTGTTTTTAGCTTTCTAATTGTCTAATAGTAACTTATTATTGATATGATTATGTAAATTACATGTATACATCTGTCTAAGCTCTGTAACAAATAAAAACACTTTTTTTACACCATACAGATTGAACGAAATAAATTCGGAACATACGAAATAATATGTATTCAATTCTGCTGTAGGTGGTTGACCAACAAAAGGTTGTCAAATAATTATATTATAAAAATCCAATACTTCCAATACAATAATCCAATACATAAATCTACGATTTTATTATGCTGTCAAACCACTTATAGTCCTGGAAATGAAGCATTTCACCTCGCAATTTTTTTGTCCTGCGTGGATTGACTTGAAATTTTAATAGAAGGTAGGTAAAAGCCAAGGATCAAAATCTATATCGAACCAAAGTGCGCCAAAGCCTTGGGGGTGGTTGCCATCCCATCTCGGGGGTAAAAAATTGTTTTTACGTTTTAACTACAGGTTTCGATTAAAAAAGTGATTCTAAACAAAAAATGTTCTATACATTTTTTTTGTTAAACTAATATTTTTCAAGTTATTCGCGATTGAAAGTAACAACTTTTAGACGAAAAAATCGACGGTTTTATTCGATTTTTCGCGAATAACTCGAAAATGGTGCATTTTATCAAAAAAATTGTAGAGAACAAATTTGTAGCTTTTAAAAAGAAATACAATTCATTTTTTAAAATGTTTTTGCGATATAACAGGAACCGAAATACGGCCTATCAATGTTCAGCGGTTTTCTTCAAATGCCAAATTTGAAAGATTCAAAGTCAAATATCGGGAAAATGATGCATTTTTGGAAGAAAACTCACACAACTTTTTTTAAAGAGCATAAATAGACCTATCATAAAAAAGACTCTAGCTCAAAAACTGAGTGAGTTATGATGAAAATAAGGTCAATGCCTAATTTTTTTTACGAAAAAATCGATGAAAACAACCCCCTAACCACCGCCATAATCAAAATCGATCTTCACCCTACTGCAATTCTCTTTGTACATGTATTTTTAATACGTCCAAGAAGTTTGACCCATTTAAAATGCTTAGTTTTAGAAAAAGTACAGCATAAAGCGAGAAACGATTTACAATTTCATATTTTTTACCCTTCTTTTTTTAAATATCCCCGAAAATACTGAATATATGAAAAAAAAATGTACTAAATTGTAGCTTTTTTAATGACTAAAATTTTTCTTTATTTAGATTTGTTGTACAATGAATATTTGGCGAGACATAGCCGTTTAAAGCATCGATTTACGATCAAGCACTATCTTTTTCGAGCCCTTTAAACTCACCCCATTTAAAAACCAAGGGTTCCAAAAAATATTTAATTCACAGATCCTTGTAGCTCTTAAAAACCTCTACAAAATCGTTTTTGAAGACACACTCTATCGTTAAATAGATTATGAAATATCGTACAAAACCGGTATATTAGGTAGTGGGGCGTTATACATTCGAAATTTTAAGCGTCCTTATTTTGAAATCCCATACAACAGAATAAAACACCTGCTCATATGTCTATGGCTTGGCAATGAAAATATCAGAGCAACATATTGGAGATGGTATTCCAAAGATGGTTTGTTATTACCCGTACGCGTAAACAAACAACCTGCACCCGATGAACTTTTGAAAATTATTTTTTGCCAATGCAAAAAAGGATGCGGCGTTTCATCTGGGTGCAGAAAAGTTCGTTTATACTGTAACTCTACTTGTTCTGGGTGCTCAGGTGAAGGGTATAGTGCAATAATAGTCCACCAATAATTGAAGAAGATGAGGATGACATAGATCACGATGAAGATGTAATTGATGACGAATAAAATTAATATTATAATTGTTTTACCTATAAATGTAAATATTTTCAACTATTTATGTAAATGTATAAGAATATAATATGGTGCCTTTTTATGTTGATAAATTGTTTTGTATTTATTTCTACTTTTTTTAATTTATATCTATTAAATTAGTTTACAAAAACTGCAATGTTGTAAAGGGTGATTTTCAAAAGTTAAAAAGTTGCACAATTTTGGCAAAAAATTGTTTTCACCTATAGTACTCATAACAATTGATTTTTAAGGGTTGAAAATGTATGAAATTGTATTTTAAAGTATAAAAAAAACACTATTTAACTAATCCAAACCAAATTTCACTCGTCTTAAGATTTGTAATGTTATTTTACAATTTTTGAAAATTAGGGGTAGTTTTCACCCCTAAGAACAATCAGGGTTTCTCGGCATGACATAAACTATAAAGCAGAGGGTGAGTTGAGCTTAATTCCAAATTTTTATGCAAATCGTTCCAAGGCGAAATCATTTTCTTCGCATTACTACTTTTTTTACATTAATCTCTAACAAGGGTCGCTTTTTAAGGGTTGAAATATGATGGAACTTTATTTAAAAGTACGAAACTATCATTATTTAATTAATTCAAACCAAATTTTACCCATATTCAGGTTTAATATGTTATTTTACGGGTCTACGAACCCTGAACAATCAGGGTTCGTAGACATGACATAAACTTTCAAGCAGTGGGTGAATTGAGCTTAAATCCAATTTTTTATCCAAATCGATACAGGGCGAAATCATTTTTTTAGAATTAGTAATTTTTTTACATTAATCTCTAACAAGGGTTGCTTTTTAAGGGTTGAAATATGATGGA